TAACACTACTACTGGTCGTAGAACTGCAGTAACATGGCTACATTGTCCCTGCACCCAATGACAATGTGGACAATCTTATATTGTGATGAGAGTCTATACAAATTTGTTGTTCCACGTGTTCATTTTCTCCTTGTCACCAAACTTCTCTCTAGACTTAAGTCTATTAAGCATAAATGATTTGCCAGAAATTCTACTTTTAAAACCAATGACTGAAAAAAATACAGTTTTTTTTTCATATAACATGTCAAAATTATTAAATAAACTTCTGGAACATTCTTTAGAAACTTGTATCCATAGACTTCTGCTTGCTTCTTATTCTCACACATTCACCGCGCTAACACGCTTGTTAAGGTCAAACCAAAGCACCATTGCATAAAAGGATATTGTACTCAATACTGATGGTGTTGCTCTACTACGGAAGTGCTTCATTCTCAGCTGCAAATATTCCCAGTTTAGAAGAGACAGCAAGAACAGAGTTTTAAATTGTCATCATCAACAGCATTGATATTTCCTTTCCAACACCCCCCCATGACCCGTGCCATCTCCACTCAAGAGTGCCAAGCAATTCTGAAAAAGAATATGAACTGAATATGGGAAAATGATCAAAATGCTGGCAACCATATTAATAGTGTCAGTTTCTTTAGACTAATATAACAACTTAGGCCATAACTGAAAACAAAAAATACGTTCTAATCTGGTGCCTTCAAACAGTAATTTTATAAACAGCCAAAATGGAATATATTATTTTAAAAGTCATAAATCCTTTTTAACTTTAAAAAGTTAAAATCCCAGCAAGATTTTAATTTAGCTTAACAAGCTAACTCTAAAATTAATTCAAAATCCTATTCCAATTTGGGGGGAGGAGGATATCCTATCGGATATCAAATCTATAAAATGATTCTAATGAAAACAATGTGATACTGGCACAATATAAAAACAGTTCAAGGAAGGAGAATACACTAGGAAGTTCAAAACTGAAGCCTGTACACAGGGTAATTCAGTATTAACAAAGGCAGCCGTTTAAGTGTGAAAAACATAAAACATTCAATAAATGGTGAAGGGTTAACACCACTATTTGGGGGAGTAGGGAAGGAATCTTCAGATCATGAATATCTCACATCATACAAAAATAAACTTCAGATAGACTGAGGAGCGAAAAATATGAAAGATACTAGAAGAAAATGCAAAGAGAATATATACTAATTTTAGAAGTGAGGAAAGCTTTCCTAAGCAGCAGGCAAAAAAGCCCCCCAAATATTATTAATTTGTAATATTGATATATTTTATTAAAAACATTTAAAATTTCTACACAGCACAAGATATCACATTGTTAAAAGATAGCACTAGACTGGGAGAAAATATCAATGATTCTCATGTAATAACCATAATATTTAAAGCACTCCCACCGGGCAAAACGATGTATTAGTAAGTAAATCAAAGAAAATTCTAATTGAGAATAAATAAAATTTATAAATAATAAACTACCTCACCACTAGTAGTCAAGGAAATGCAAATCAAAACAGTAAAATGTCATTTCCACCCTAAAGACTGGCTCCCCCCACCAAAAAAAAGATTTCTGTTGATAACAGTTTGGGAAATACACTATTAGTAGTAGTAGAAACTAATACAGTCCCTCTCTTCCTCACTAACTTTTACTTTAGATTCGGAGGGCATCTGTGCCAGTTTGTTATATGGGCAAATTGCTTGTTACATGAGACCTGAGGTATGATGGATCCCATCACCCAGGCAGTGAGCACAGTACCCAATAGTTACTTTTTCAACCCTTGCCTGCTTCCCTCCTTCCCCATCTAGTAGTCCCCCGTGTCTACTGTTTCCATTTTTATGTCCACGTAACACAGCCTTTTAATAGAATTATCTGTGTTTATATTTTTAGTAAGCTCAGTAATTGTTTTTAAGTAACCCTACAGATACAATCATGTAAGTGTATGAAGATACACACACACACACACACAAATGACAAAATGATAGTACTCAGTAAATATTAGCTATTAGCCAGAGATGTTTCTAAGAGCTTTAGAAACATCAACTCACTTAATTCTCAGAGCAATCCTATAATTTAAGTTCCATAATTTTCATCCCCATTTTGCAGACAAGGAAACCAAGGCACAGAAAGGCTGAGTAACTCGCCCAAAGTCACAGAGATAGCACTCATCGGAATCAGGATTCAACCGAGGCATTTTGACTTCAGTACCTGAGCTCTTAACCATCACTACCACTAGGTAGATCTACTGCCTTCTAAACAAGGATGTTCACTGCAATACTGTACATCATGGCAAAATGCTGGTAACAGCCATGATCAGCAACTGTAAAATAGACAATGGGCTGCTCATCATGTAAAATAGTAAATGATGTAGAATCAACACACCCACAAATATTTACAATACATTAAGTGAAAACAAATGAGACACAAAGAAGTAGCATAACTTCATTCTTGTCTTAAAAGCAACCTCTGTATGCAGTTTTGTATGTATGTCTATTGTTCATTTGTTCAGACAATTGTTTAAAAAAATCACACACAAAATATTAATACTTAATACTAGTTTCTTCTGGGAAGGAGAACAGGATTAGGGAGTAAGAGTGAAGAGAGGTTTTCACTGGTTATTTATGTATCGTTGTGTTAGGTGACTTCTTTTATTAATATAAATGGCAAGTTATTGCTTTTCTATTAAAAACAAATTAAGCTAATAAGCAAACAGAAAGGCAGAGCCCCAGGTGGGATAAGATGCTAATATCATCAACAGCACTGATCTACTCTCCTCTAAAGCAATTACATTTCCTATGCTGATGGCCACAGACTGAAGACGCCAAACCTCAATAAGAATTTTAAACATTTCGATGTTGATTATAACACAGTAAGACTGTCACACGTTATTGCAAGAATATATAAAACATCATTAGTGAGAAATAAACTGGCTGAGTTCAAATTGTGGCTCTACTATTTAATAGCTGTATGATTCCAGGAAAGTGATTTAACCTCTTGATATCTCAATTTCCTCATTATAAAATGGAGATATTAGTATTTACCTTATATGGTTAATACTTGTAAAATCCTTATTACCTGCACAAAATATAGATTCATTTTGTTAGACAAAAATAACTTAAGAAAATGCATATATATACAAGCCGATGTTAAGCTAACAGTACCATCTCCCTTTCCAAAGACATAAATAACCTCTGCAAAACAAACTAAATGTATCACACATAGTAAGTGTATAAGTGTTGTTGTGCAAAACTGTTTTTTGTTTTTTTTTTTTGAGACTGAGTCTCACTCTGTCACCTAGACTGGAGTGCAGTGACATGATCTTGGCTTACTGCAACCTCCGCCTCCCGGGTTCAAGCAATTCTCCTGCCTCAGCCTCCTGAGTAGCTGGGACTACAGGTGCAAACCACCACGCCTGGCTAATTTTTTTATTTTTTAGTAGAGATGGGGTTTCAACATGTTGGCCAAGATGGTCTCAATCTCCTGAACACAGGATCCACCCTCCTTGACCTCTCAATGTGCTGGAATTACAGGCATGAGCCACTTTGCCTGGCCTGCAGAACTTTTTTTAGGCTATGCAGACATATGTATGAATGTGGTACCATAATGTAAAATTCACTTCTCATGGTCCAAAGAATATCGCTATATTCTTTGAGCATATCGGTGAGTGGCTTAGGGCTCTGTCCTCTGCTGCTGCATCCCAAGATCAAATCTCACATGAAGCCTGGCATCTATAACAGCGTCTTTCACTTAAGAGGGCTGCAAAGTAAACACTCTGTTCCAACCTTAATATATGCACAAACATCCTGTCTTAGAACAAATTCAAAACACCTTTCTTCCTAAAGTATCTTTTCTATTGTCTCTAGATTAAATCCATTTCACTATTAATATATTTTTACTAGAGACCAAGCAATCCTCTCCCTGAAACTTTTATTCTCCCTAGTCAAAGCTCATCCTGATGTTAAGGCAACTTAATCTAAATCCTCACTGTTTGTAGGTTTATTTATAAACTTTTCGTTCTGTCACTTCAATGGACAACACACCTAAAAAAATTTTAATTTTATACAAATCATTAAATTCACTCTGCCAAAAGTAAGAATTTTATTATTTGTAGTAACTACATTTCCAGACTAAAGGCATTACATATTATTATTGGCCTATTAAAATTAGGTGTTTAGTATTAGGCTTATTTCAGTAATAAATCAACTTTAAGCTGGTTCCCAAAATATTTTTCCTAGTACCCTGCCTGAGTCTCTCCAACACATACACTCTTTCTCCCGTATCATGTCTGATATTCCCCATATAACTTGTTTAAAAAAGAAGTTAATTGTACTCTAGCCTTGTTCCAGTTCGTGTGTGTGTGTGTGTTGGGGAGAAGGGGGAAGGAGACTAAAATTAATCTTAGATCTTTTACTCAGTATCTCCTAGATCTTTTTTATATACTGAAAACAGTAATTTGCACATCTTGTATAAATTCACTGAAAGCCAATTTAGAAATTCTTCAGTTCAATCCTCTAGTTCTACGGATGATGAAATCTAGATCTAGAGAAGTTAAGTAACTTCCTCAGAGTCACATGCTTTGGACTGAAATGTATGATTATGTGACCGCTAACACTGTCCCATCTACTTGAAGAAGTGGCCCACGATTACGAACATTAATTAACCACATACATTAAATGGTGGTATATTCCCTAGAACTTTTCAAAGTACTTACAAATAATTACTTAAGGCATTTAGTGTTAAGTCTCATTTTACAGAAAAACAAGCTAAATCCTAAAAGTATTACTTCCTTGTTACTATATCAAAGTAAGGATAAGATTTATTCTTAATGAATTAACTGGTACTTAAAACACAGTATCGTACTTCCTCCAAATATTTCATTTCTCAATTTTTACTTTAATAAAGTTTCTCTTACTGTCTTTTTAAAAAATAATTTTCTGATACTAATATTAAAATCATAATACATTCATTAAAATAAAATTTTCTCTGGATCTCATACCTGTCGTTCATCCTCCATGACGTTACTAGCAAATTCAAATACGAGGTCGTTCTGTTGGACAACAGCAGCCATAATAAAGCATTCCCCTTAGAGCCACATGAGAAAAATTCCAAACAGGTTCATGTATCAGGCAGCAAAATCCAGTGACCAATTTGGGTAAAAACCCTCAGCTCTGTCTGTGAAGTTACTGTATACTCAAGTTTTCTTTAGGGAAGGTGCTTCAGTTTTCTTGGTTCATTGATATTCTAGTCAAATTCAGACAATTTTTCTGAAATGTTTCTTCTCTCAAGCTTCTTGGCCTAAAAAAAGAAAAGCTTAAATTAGTTATGAAAAAGCAATCCCCACTTAGAATATAATAACTGATACAGAGGGCAGTATCGCCAAAGCATTTTTTTGTTAGTAATATTTTTAAATAAAATCAACATGACTAATGAACATATTGCTCTTTTTAAAAAGTTACATATTTTCTTTGAAGACTTTGCTCCTGCTAAGATCATCTCACACTACTGAAAATTATGCCTCTCTCCCCCAATCCCCAGTTAAACTACTGTTAAAATACTCAATTTTTTAAAAAAAGCCTACCAAAAAAACCCAACAATAATAATGAGGGTTGTCATCGCAATAAAGGATATATAAACAATTTCCTTCTTTTTACCAACTCAGCAGAGCACATACACAGAAACTGCTACCCCATGAGTAATTTCATAACGTATATATATTTTTTCACCTTTAATAGAGGATTTATATAAGGATTTAAAATCTAATACATTTAAAGTTTAGTAAGAACTATTTTTAAATCTTTTAAAAATAAGCAGAAATTAAAGCCCACTCTTTCTGTTCTTTAAAAAGGCTTCTGATAAGTAGAATGTTTTAAAAATTACCATGCTAAAGTCTGTCTTCAGTGGCTTCTTTTTTAATGCACTGAAATGTATTCTTATCTCTAGCATAGGCTTGCAAGCAACAGGAAGGAAACAGCACTTGACCACGTCATGGCAAATTAGAACATGCAAAGAACTGCACTTTACAATAGTAGAAAAACAGAAACGCAACTTAGCAGTGAAAACAATTTCACAACGAAGACAGAAAGGCTTTTAAAATATTGACCAAAGATGTTTGCCTATTTTTTAAAAAAGTTATAAATACTAACAGAAGGAAAAGGAAAAAATTCTTTAGGTGTTTATCACAATCTTATTAAATTTTCATCAAATGATTATGGCCATAACGGGGCAGGAAAAGACAAAGATATAAAAATAATCACATTAAGTAACATCTAGTTCTTTGAACTACCATTTATAATTTTAATACAAACACTTTAAAAAAGAAGTTGACTCCAAGGAAAGGATGGCCAGTAATTTCCTAATAATTTAAAGAGCCAAGTTTGAGGATGAAGCTGACCTGGTGAATCGGTTTCCCTGAAAATGTAAATCCAGCTAGTATGTGCTAGCCAAATCACTTAATCATTTCCTAATTTCTGTAAAGCAAGTCCCTATGTGTTCTGGGCTTTCACGGCCACCATGTATGATTGTGATTTTCCCAGTAGGAACTCAAAATAAAGTAAGAATTAAGAATCCAAGTTAGATGATATTTCTACTTACTACACCAAATTCCAATCCAGCAAATTTCCCACTCTCATCCACTCCCTTTTAACAGCAAGTTCAACTCCAAATGTATTTTTAGCACATTCAGGTGGTTTCTGAGCAATGTACCATATCTTTGAGAGAAAAAAAGTGTTTTGATCTAAAGTGATCACTGATAAGACATATCTGGCCTTATACAGGTATTATTTACAATACCTTTTTCCTTAAATTATTATCCAACCCAATTCCTCTATAGCAGGCCTGCCTAATGTTCCTCCACACGAACTATTCAATCTTGCCTCTTTTCTCAACTTCTGTTATTTCCCATGCCTGCAAAACACACCCACTTCTACTTGCCAGCATTCAATCCCATCTTTTCCGCTCAGTACTCAAGCCCCATTTATTTCACAAAGCCTCCCAACACCTCTGCCTCAAACTATAAGGGCTGCGCCCTTCAAAAACACAACAATTACTGCCCATACAACCAATCTAGGATTCACTGCAGTACACTGTCTCAAATTTGAAAACTGTGTCCCCTTAACTCAAGTGAATACATGTTTGAGTGCCAATTATTTGCAAGGCAATGTGCCAAGCACCAGACAATTGAAGCAAAACCTCTTCTTGGGAAATAACCTTTGTCTAAAATTTCTTCTGTATTTCCCAAACCTGTGTGCCCAGAGTGATGACAAAAAGGATTACACTGATAAGATACTGTTTTAAATATCTTATCAGGTCAGGCATGGTGGCTTACAGCTCTAACACCAGAATTTTGGGAGGCTGGTAGGGAAGAAGTCACTTGAGACTAGGAGTTTGAGACTAGTCAGGGCAACATAGCAAGACCTCATCTCCACAAAAAAACAAAAAATTAGCCAGCTGTGTTGGTGTGTGTGCACTTGTGATCCTAGATACTCAGGAGGTTAAGGCAGGAGGCTCGCGTGAGCCCAGAAGTTCAAGGCTGTACTGAGCCACGATTGCCACTGCACTCCAGCTTGCGTTACACAGTGAGAGTCTGTGTTTAATAAATAAATATCATTAGATATTTAAACTATTTCTACAAATATCCTTTATTTAAAAAAAGAATAACTGACATATTCCTGATAAAGAGGAAACTATTATTGTAAGTTTGAAAAGTCATAGTACGAAAATATAACCAGAATCAAGGGATGTTTGCTGATACAGAAGTTTCTCTGTAAAAGATTAGGTTCCAAAAGGCTATTTCAAAACCCATTTGTTCATAAATGCAAAATGACATTGTCCCAATGGCCAATGTGAATACATCTATGGAAATTTAAGTTTTACTTTCTTTTTGACTGCTATCATGTGCTTTTTTGTATCAGCACTTCCACACTGCTACTGTGCTTTAAGAGTTGTCTTTCAGAAATCTCAAAAATCAGAATAAGCAATCAATATACCCACACCTCATAGTATTAAAAACCAACAGTAATAAATCAAAACTGAAAATGGCTCCCCACAATCACAAGCCGCTTATTGAGGCAGAAAAAGACACCTTTGCTCCCATGTAGCTTTTGCTCATTTCTATAGAGAAGTCCATAAACTGAAAATGTGTTAAGTAAAGAAAAGCATTTTATTGGCTTAATCATGTCTTTGAGGCTCTGTCATCTTTTCTGCTCCTCTTCCTCTCCCCTGTGTACTTATATACCCTACAGCAGCAAGGAGATTCTTGAGAATACATTTTCTGATACCTGATCCAGAGGGAACACCTGTAGATATCAAAGATACTTAAATTACAAAGCTCAGGTATCTTACAATTTTCTTCAGTTATAGACAAGACTGAAGATCTAAATTAATGATTCCATTTTTCATTAGTAAACTGGGGTGGCCAAGTTCTTACAGTCTACAAGAAAAACAGAACTAAAACTAGAATTCTTGTTTCCTAAATCAGGACTCTCTAAAACTATACAGCCAGGCCTCTAAATCCACCAAAGTCCGTTCTGCTATAACAGTTTATAATACATATTAAGTAAATATATATGTCAAAAAAATTTTAAATCTCCATCTCTAGGTTCAGCTTCTGAGCTCCAAATCCAGTCACCAAATTGTCTATCAGACAAGCCTACATCAGTGCCCCTTGAAGTCAGTGTGTAAAAAACGTGTCCAAAACTAACTACATCATCTAATTCTTCAAATATGCTCTTAGATGGGAAAAATATATGGGCGCTCAGATTAGAAAGAGGGCATCCAGGCAGGCATCTATCAGATAAAAAATCTCAGGCTGGCTCAAATGTCTCTTAATTGGGTCAGGACCATATTTTATTCTCCAAGGAGACATGCCACAGGAACACTTATCAACAAGGTTCCTAACCTCTCATCCCCAAAACAAGCTTTGTAGTTAAGGTAAAATAGTAACACAAAGCAGTTCAGAGAACAGGCTCTGGAGTCAGACTGCTTGGGTGCCAATCTTCTGCAGTGTGTCCTTGGACAAATTACTTACTTGGTGTCTCAGTCTCCTCATTCCATAATATAGGTAGTATCAGTCTCAAGTTTCCTCCTTCTGTAAAATGGATAAAGTAAATAATACCAAAACCTAGAGCTATTTTGTGAAGATTAGATGCAAAAATGCATGTGCAGAATACTTGACACATAATGTGCACTGAATTAACATTAGCTTCCTTAGCGCTGTAAGTATATGCAAGAGATATGTGTAACAGGTGCATGCCAGGTTAACTAATTATTCCTTAAGTCTCATTTCTGTACTCCTTGGAAGTCTCCATTACCACAGCTATTTGCTAGACTCCAACAAAAAGAACATCATAACCCATCATCAACAATAGTATAATTCCATTCCAGTGCTTAAAAGTTAGGCGTGTTTTTAATAAATCTGTCTCTTCAAGGCCAGGACTTCACTCTGGCAAGCTTCCCTAACACAGAGTCCCATTATGCTCCATTCCAAACAAAGTGACTTCACTGACTGTAAACACAAAACCCACAGCCACATTACTAGCTACTATAACCAATTCAAATGGTTACTTTTTGTTTAATCTATTATAAAAGATTTCAGGTGCTAAAAAAAAAGTGATAGTCAAAATTGATCACTGATTCAATGTAAACTTAAGATTCCTTTAAAGGGGTTTTTAGACACAAGGATATTAAACTCATGAATTCATAAATATATTTTTAAAGAATCGTTACTCTCCTTTTAGGTTACTCTGGTACCAGCTGTTTATGGTGAAAATTAATAAATAGACCAGGCACAGTGGCTCACAACTGTAATCCCAGCACTTTTGAAAGGCCAAGGCGGGTGGATTACCTGAGGTCAGGAGTTCGAGACCAGCCTGACCAACATGGCAAAACCCTGTCTCTATTAAAATACAAAAATATTTAGCTGGGCATGGTGGTGGGCATCTGTAATCGCAATACTTGGGAGGCTGAGGCAGGACAACTGCTTGAACCCGGGAGGTGGGAGTTGCTGTGAGCTGAGATATGCCACTGCACTCCAGTCTAGGCGACAGAGCAAGACTCCGTCTAAAAAGAAAAAAGAGAAGAATAAGAAAGAAAATTAATAAAGAGAATCAATCAAACAAGCAAAAATATTTTAGATCAGACAATTCTGGGATAAAGATGATGAAATATACCAGCTTAGAGCAATGAGGTGATTGAATGACTTCTCTAATGAAGTATGTAATTCAGACTGTGTGTGTGATTATGTATATATATGCATGTTTGTAGGTTGGCAGCATCTAAAAAACTGGAATGCTACAGTA